CCCTTTTTGGGGCTCATCAGCACAGTGCACCGATGATGAGCTTCCACATACCAAGAATATATATACTATAGAAGACAGTGTGGTGGATGTGGGACACTACAGAACTTTATATACTACACATTAGGGCCATTTATACGGGACAAAATAAGTCGCGACTTACATAAGACGCGACTTAAATAAGCGGAGTTATCGCATAAATGGTTCTCTACGGCTTTGGTCTTATTTATTTTCTATAGCTATAAATAAATGTTGTTTTGTTTGTTTTTGTTTTAATATGCAAGGCTAATAATTTTACGTTGTTTCAAGTTTCTGGCATGTGTAGTTAGACTTTTTTTCCAAGATTTCTTATTTAAGACGCGACTTAGATAAGAACAGCTAAAAGGCCTGTTCTTATGTAAGACGCGTCTTATCCAAGACGCCTATTTTGCGGTTTCCGTTTTGGCCCATTTTTGGGGTCGTTTCCGCCCCTTTTAATTTACATTGTAATGGGAATTGTCTATTAATATTCATCAATTTAACAACTGTACAGTAGTTCAATTGCAATAGTTTACAATTACTACAATTACTTACCAATTACACTACAATTACTTACCACTTGTCGAATACCATGGGCTCCAATTGCTGTATTCACTGTTCATAGTTCCATTCCAACCTATTGCAGCAACTCGGAATCTGTAATCGAAGCCATTAACGAGATTCTCAACAGTAAATGATTGAAGGTTTGTGGAACTTCCTTTTACCTAAATCAGGTGCATGGAAAATTTAAAAATTAAATTCCTCACAAAAATTAGAGAATGAGCCTAATATCTAAATGTGTAGAAGTCCCGTCTTTTGGCAAATAATAGAGAGCTTAATTTAAGCTATAGGTGGCTCAATACAGTTTTCTGAAAAACATCAGGAGCCGTTGCTGAAAGCTCCATTGGCACTAAGCCTTTGGGTTAAATTTTAACCTGCTGTTCTTCCCTCCAGAAGGAAGCAGTTAATAATATATGGGTATATATTCATACGTCTGTTTACTTTTGAAAACTTCAGGATTCGGTTGTTCGAAAACTGATAAGCTTATAACCCTATACGCTAATCCAAATTGCAAAGCAAACTTCCCAACAGCGCGATCTATATACATTTGGAAACATTCTTTCAGAAATCTTGTCTGCATCAGTATAGCCGGTGTTTTCTTCTCTGACATTTTCATAAACAGACGTGCAGAAAATACGTAAACTAAAAATGCTGGAAAATTTTATCTGAAGGTTCGAACTATACACTATTAATTTCGAGGAGTAAAAGGTCAGAACGACTCCTTTTTTGAAGTAAGTTTTACTCCTTAAGTAGAGTTGTTTTTACTTTTTAAAGGGTATAGTATTCCCTAACTTCTATTGCCAGAAGCGAGTTTAATTTACTCCTCCAGAGGAGTTAAATTGACTCCCAATGAAGTAAATTGTGCAATGTGCGCAGAAGGGGAGTAGTTTTAACTCCATTTTGGGAGTAGATTTTACTCCACCATTTTTACTCTCCCGAGTGGAGTAGTTAACTTTAATAATGGTGGAGTTAAAATAACTCCTTGAAATTAACAGTGTATAACAACCGACCCCTGTGAAGAAAACTCCAGCTGCAGACCCATGGCACATGACCTCACAGCGCCAGTGATAATGCATCTGGAGGCCAAATTAGCAATCGTATCTATGCATAGTACAACTTTTGTAAATAATGCAAATTTTGTAAAAGTTTATAATAATTTTGTATTTAAATGGTTAATTTTTGCGTTTGTATGTGGTTGTTGTACCCGAACAGATATTATTAGGGAGCATCTGGAGGACACTCTAAGGATTTGTGACGTCAGTGCAATGGGTCTATACAAGCTGTTGGAAAATTTGCTTTAAATTTTCGGTTAACCTAGCCAGGCTAGGGTTAAGTTAACCAGATTCAGTCGAACAATCGGTTGCACCAGCGTAGACGTATAAGCTAATCTAGCTTTGAACAACCGGCTCCTGATGCATAACAATATGACAGTTTTAAACGTCAAATTTTTAGGCTTTGTGCAATAGTGATCTAGATATTCATGATAATAGTAATAATCTTACGGTATTTTTATCGATCATGGTTCTTAAACAATTACAAATTAAAATACTTGTCGGTATGTATGCAACTACCTATATAGCTGGAAAAAAAGGGAGAAATTCGACGTTTTGAGCAAAGTCACTCTTCCCGACGAAACGCCTTCTTCGACACGTCGAATTTCTCCTTGTCTTTTCCAGGTATAGTTGCATGCATCCCTAGCAATTAATGTTTTTTTATTGGCACTATACTGTACCTCTACACTGCAACAGACAGTTCTGTATCCTTAAATAGTTGTATAATATCATATATTAAAACTATTACAAAAGTTATTAATTGCTGCCGCAGCGAGCGAGCCTGAAGCGAGCGAGCAAGGCAGCAGTCCTAATTTTGTTTTGTGGGTCGAAATCAAAATTTTCTATTTGGCGCATTGCATGACGGTACCAGTGAATTTTAGCCGTGGTGAAGCGCGGTCAGGCATAAGGCAAACAGGTGATGTGATCATCTTTCATCTTTGGTCTTCTTTTATGGAAAGCCATAGCTGGCTTAGAGTGATCAAACGGCATTTTGTTGGGTGCTTTTAGCATTATACGGCGGTGTTTTCGGCATTATACAAGGTGCTTTCGCCATTATACGCGGTGGTTCCAGTATTACACGCGGTGCTTTCACCATTTATATACGCGGTGCTTTTGCAATTATTCGCAGTGGTTCGAGCACTATATGCGGTGCTTTTGATATTATACGCGAAGCTTTCATTCAACATTATTTCCATATTCTTTCCATGACATGTATATGATTTAACGATTGCTTAAATTTGGTATGTGGTTGACAAATGCTTTTTGCCTATGGTCTGCATGGACAATGACATGCTTTTCTGTGTATATAAATGAATACAACGCAGCGAATGCGCCAAACAGTATAAACGCGGCTGAAATACGATATTAAAATCTTAAATGTGCCGTATGATTTTTTAATTATGTTTTAGAATTTACAAATGCTTTGTTATTTGTATTTATACTTGTATTGCATCACAAGGCAGTACGTAAGTGAAAAAAATTCCACATGTGAGATTGTCTTGTATACATTTTTGCTTTCTTTGATAAACATTATTAAACACGCAAATTTTAATTAGTGAGACGCAATGTTAAATGTTACCTGCATGTCATTGTCATTGCCCTTTAACCCCTGGTCTAATTGGCCGCTTTTGAAAATGTTGATCATGACGAACCGCACTGCCTTAATTATGCCAACTTTGTGTTTTAAAAACGGGTTAGGATAAAACGCGGATACGGCCGGATGGATGAATGACGGACGGACGGACGAACGGATGGCGACGGACGGACCGGACGGATGACATATATATGTCATTATATAGTCTGCGTGCAGCCGCGCAGGGTAGTTAGTGGCTTACGTCTTCGCTGGTTGTTATACTTTAAAATAATTTTGTACCGATAAATATAATATATATAATTATATACCGATATATATAATTTTATACCGATAAATCAATATTCCGAGTATATAAATATATAAACTGGGATGTCACACTGATAGCTTGTTTACATCTCCTGGAGCATCATGAAATCTTATGTTTAACCACGGTGGTTTAACCCATTAGCTGGCAATGCGCCCTTCCCTTGTCCAACGCCAGAAGATTTTACTCGTCAGTGGTATAGGGTACTGCCAGTAAATGGGTTAACAAACCTATCTGCCAATGGCTTTTGTTAATTCATCAACACAGTAATGGACCCTACTTTAGTATTTATCCTGTCCAACGCCAGACGATTTTTAATACTCAGTCAGTGGTAGGGTACTGTCAATAAATGAGTTAACAAGGATAACAATAATAGGATGTTTCTCAAGAACTCGTTCAACACCCTGTAGTTTGTCTTTTGCTGTCAAAGGCAGCATTACTGCCCTGTGGGTAACCTAGTTTAAGTTATAAATCAGATTGATTATATATACTAATATCAGAGAATCAGGTTCTTATAGCCATATATATTAAAATTTATCTGCAGTGGTAAGGGCAATTGCTTAATTAAGGTCACGGACGTTAAGTAAATCCCCAGAAGCCCGTGCAACTGCTGTCTGTTGACCCCATAACCGTGTTGGTCGTGGCTTGCTAACGTTCGTTATATATCTTTTGTTGTAATTATGAAATTGTTTGTTATAGTTGATTTGAAATGGGTATATAGTCAATGTAATGGTTTACACAATCTAATGCCTTCCAATTGGACACTAAAGGGCCTCTGTGATTGAAGAAAAGTATACTCCCGTGTTTAAGAATTAATTTTCCTTTGCTGCTTTGCAATAATTATGTAGAACTTGCATGCAGGGAATACATGAAGGTCAAGTTATTGCAGTCTCCCCACACAATGTCACAATAGTCAATATACAGTAAGCATTGAAGAACAACTTCCTGCAGGTTTCAAGTGGACGAAAACATTTACTTCTCCTGAACAAGTTTAACTTTAAAAGTACTCTCTTACAAATAGTGTTAACCTATTCTTCCCAATGTTAACCTGCATGCTCTTCACCGATAATCACCTCGCCCTCGGCGAATAATTGTTAAATATTATAGATAGGACATGCTCGCTCTGCTTAAAAGAGAAAACGACGGGGTTCATACGATTTCTGAATTATAAATTATGAATGTAAAATATTCAGCGTGCACGAAAATATTTGCTCTCTTACGTACCATAACGTATTTTGGGATTGAAGGTCGTAACTCCATAGAATTCTCCGGCGATTGAGAGTTGAGGTGAACTTGCAATATGTAAAACGCAATGCTTCCGGACACATCCACCGATGTGTTCCATTTTAAGGTGATAAAGTTGTATCCAGATCCAGACAGCAATGGTGAGCTAGTGGCTGGAACAAAATTCTGAGTTCTGGAGGAAACTGAAGAAAAGGAATCTGTTATCAAACTTATATATTATGCCGCACTCATTCTTCTTGGTGATTACAGGGATCAGGGTTTTTCCTCTGTCTGATTTTCTGTTGTCTACATAGGTAACTTTAGAAAGCTATAATTAATATCTTATATTGCAATAGACAGACCATAGGGTAAATAGGATTTTAGTTGAATCGCGAGGAGAAACTTATGTCCAAAATGTTTATTAAATTGGTCTTCTGTGTAGAGTGGAACAATTGAATAATTGTCCATAGCTAAGTATCAATTGCAGAAGTCTAGTCCTGGAAATTCTAAGATAGAATTAAGTTTAATTAAATAGTAATTATATGATCTTCATCAAATATGATTCTCTACTGTTATTCATTCATGAAAAAAACAC